CCAGAGTCAACAGCTACCTCGACAGGCTCGACTGCGTCTACCTGAGACACACCTGAGGGGGCAGGACCCTGAGGGGGGAGGGGGTCTACCGGGGGGGGGCCTAGCGCAAGGAAGAGCAGCGGGGGGGGGAGGGGGGCAGCGTGGTAGGGGAAGAGACGGTAGTAAGGAACCGACTCGTCAAACGTGACGTCCTGGGAGGACAGAACACGGCGCGAGGTGGGGTGGTAAAACTGCCAACCAAGCGCGTCAGGGGGGAAGCCAAGGAAGGCACAGGGAACAGCACGGGAGGACAGCTTGTCCGCAGACGAAAGCTCGAGATCCCCAGACACGTAACGAAGACGCATCGCCAACCTTCCCCGTCCACCGCAGAGTAGGGTAGGTCTCCGGCACGGAGACCCGGGGCTGAAGGTTGATCTGATGCGCTGCGTTCCGAACCGCGAACGGCCACAGAAAATGGGGAGCAGCCGCATGGATCATGGACGTACGAGCGACGTCCACGACCATGCCAATGCGGCGCTCAGCAATCCCATTTTTCTGTGGAGAGGCCGGAAGCGTGAACGTCTGGCGGATGCCTCGTGCACGACAGAAGGCTCGCAGATGGTTGGAGGAAAACTCTCGACCTCTGTCGGAGTGCAAACGCAGAACATGTAAGTCCGAGCCGAAACTCTCTCTGAGCTAGAGACGGGCAGCGCGGATCCAGTCGATCAACACCTCAGTGACCTCACCCTTGCTGCGCAAGGGGAAGACTGTGGTGTAACGCGAGTAGTCGTCAACCACCAGCAGGAAGTAACGCTCGTGACCCTGTCCACGGACGCGGGCTGGGCCCCACACGTCCATGTGGAGAGTCTGCAGCGGAGCCTCTGTCGAAAGAAACTCGGAGGAGTGAGGAGCAGCGCGCTGCCGCCCCTCGACGCAGGGAACGCAGGTAGGGGCAGGCCCCGAGGGAAGGGGAGGGAGGGACCGTGGGAGACCAGAGACAAGGACACTGGAGGCCATGCCTCGGAGACGAGACAGGGAGGGGTGACCAAGGCGGTGGTGCCAGAGGAGAGTCTGGTGAGACAGGAGACGACACGAGCAGGGGGCAGACTCAGGACCAGACCTGGACGCTGCAGCAAACACCTGTCCTGACGCAGCTACCTGACCAGACGCAGCAACCGGAGGAGACTCGGTAGTCAGTGTGTACAGGCTCGACCCCGGCTGACAGGTAAACGTGGCCAAGTGGCGGCCCGTCGGAGCACACGTGCAGTGGGTCACTCGCTGACTCGCAGGAGTGAACTGGTCAACCCCCCCAACCAGTAGGTCAGCACCACTCACCAAGTTCATAGAGAACGAGGGGAGGTAAAGACCGGACAGGGAGCCAGAAGGGGCCGCCGGACACGGTAGGACAGTGGAGTAGTGGGCAAGGACATGACCCCCAGAGGGGTCTGCCAGGGAGACTACAACCGGCCGACTAAGCGGCGTGAGTGTGGTGCGGTCTCGAAAGAAGGAGCGGGAAGCACCCGAGTCAAGGGTGAAGGTGTGCAAGACCGCAGCAGGCGCAGCACCAGAGAGAGCAGACTCACCAGCACCTGGAGCAGTAGACTCACGAGCACCTAGAGCAGCAGCCTCAGCGGCACCTGGAGCAGGGGACGCACCAGCACCTAGAGCAGCAGCCTCATCAGCACCTAGAGCAGCACACTGGATACCGGGGTCAGGCGGCACACACAGGTGACAGGCACCCTCAGCACTAGTAGACAATGCATACATGGCAGTGAGGATAGCATCATGGTCAAGAGCAAAGATATCTACCCTCTATCTAAGCAGCTCCAGCCAGGAGGGGAGCTCAGCGTCGTCGCCAAACTCTGTACGCCAAGCGTCGCTCAGACGGGCGAAGCAGCGGGACTCTGTGTGACCAGGTGTCTCGCAAGGCTGACCAGTCCGGACACCCGTGCGAATGACGTACGGGCAGCGAGCAGTACTCAGTGACCCTCTACTCTGAGCGTACCACTCGCGAAGCTGCTGGGGCGAAAGGGTCTCGCGCGGACGACGCTGCAGCTGCACCTGGCCACTACAAGAAGCTCCTGAACTACTCACGCCAGGACGACTCCCACTACGGCCACCCCGACAACCCCAACTAGCGTACCACTCACGAAGCTGCTGGGGCGTGAGGGACTCACGCGGACGTCGCTGGAGCTGCAACTGGCCACCGCCAGGAGTAGCAGTAGCAGTAGTAGCCGTAGTAGCAGCAGTAGCAGCAGTAGCAGTAGTAGCCGCAGTAGTAGCAGTAGCAGCAGTAGCAGTAGTAGCAGCGCGGCCACCCCTACAACCCCTACTAGCGTACCACTCACGAAGCTGTTGGGGCGTGAGGGACTCACGCGGACGGCGCTGGAGCTGCATCTGGCCACGCCAGGAGCAGCAGTAGCAGTAGAAAGAGCAGTAGCAGCAGAAGCAGCAGTAACAGCAGTACGGGCAGGGCAGTGCTCACCATTTGGCGAGAAGAGCAGGCGTACGACGGCGGCAATGGCGAGGCCGCCACCACTGCAGGGCGAGGGCTCCGCGGCAGCTGCAAGGGCGGCTGCTCCAGGGGCGGCTGCTCCAGGAGCCAGGGGCGGCTGCTGCAGGGGCCAGGGGCGGCTGCTCTAGGGGCCAGAGGCGGCTGCTGCAGGGGCGGCTGCTCCAGGGGCCAGGGGCGGCTGCTGCAGGGGCGGCTGCTCCAGGGGCCAGGGGCGGCTGCTGCAGGGGCGGCTGCTCCAGGGGCCAGGGGCGGCTGCTGCAGGGGCGGCTGCTCCAGGGGCCAGGGGCGGCTGCTCCAGGGGCCAGGGGCGGCTGCAGAGGTCCAGGGGCGGCTGCTACAGGGGCGGCTGCTCCAGGGGCCAGGGGCGACTGCTGCAGGGGCGGCTGCCCCAGGGGCCAGGAGCGGCTGCTGCAGGAGCGGCTGCTCCAGTGGCCAGGGGTGGCAGCTGCAGGGGCGGCTGCTCCAGGGGCCAGGGGCGGCTGCTGCAGGGGCAGGGGGGGGCAAGGGCGGCCGTCCGAAGGCCAGGCGCGGGTTAGGGAAGGGCGCCGCGACGGGCAGGGGCGACGTCGCGCGGGTCCCGCAGGGGCGTCGCGACGAGCGGGGGCGACGCCCGGGTCCCGTTGGGGCGTCGCGACGCGCAGGAGCCGCGCCTCGCGGGTTCCGCAGGGGCGTCGCGACGAGGCGGGGGCGACGCGCGGGTCCCGCTGAGGCGTCGCGACGAGGCAGGGGCGACATCCGGGTGGCGACGGGGCGGGGCCGCGACTGGCGACGGGGCGGGGCCGCTACGGGCAACGGGGCGGGGCCGCGAAGGGGCCGCGAAGGGGCCACTAAGGGGCCGCGAAGGGGCCGCGAAGGGGCCGCGAAGGGGCCGCTAAGGGGCCGCGAAGGGGCAGCTAAGGGGCCGCGAAGGGGCCGCGAAGGGGCCGCGAAGGGGCCACTAAGGGGCCGCGAAGGGGCCGCTAAGGGGCCGCGAAGGGGGCCGCTAAGGGGCAGCGAAGGGGCCGCTAAGGGGCCGCGAAGGGGCAAGGGGCCGCAAAGGGGGGGGGCGCGACGGGCCTCAGGAGCAGGGCAGGCCGCTAAGGGGCCGCGAAAGGGTAGGGCAGGGCAGAGCGCGAAGCGCGCTTCGGGCAGGTTAGGAAAAAAAAAAATTTAAGGTGGGCCCTTAGGAAGAAACGGTCCCACTAGGGAACCGGCTCTATACCATGAGAAGAAAGAGGAATGATTGACTAGGAAATGAGTTGGGTAAAAGTATGAAACTTTAGGAAACTGTACCCCTTAGTGTCTACCCCACTACAGCCTAAATAGGCTCTATGATGAATGTTTGACAGCCGGGGCACAAGAACAAGGCAAACGCACTCAGTCGCCCTGCACACGTTGCCGCCCTACAAGTCGATGGCATGAACCCACTTTTGAAGGGACTCTTCACGCATGGATACACCATCGACCCCGAAGTCTCTGTAGTAGAAAAGTGCCATCTTCTGCATTGGGATCAAGACATCACATACTGCAAGGGATCCACAAAAATATGGGTACCTAATTACCCTCCTTTACGCCAGTTACTACTCGAAGTATATCATGATGTTCTCTACGCGGGCCACTTCGGTAGTAACAAGACGCTTGCTGGTATTGCAAAGCATTATTATTGGCCCCACATGGCGGATGACGTACAAAAATTCGTCACCTCGTGCGACACATGCCAACGGATGAAGAGCAGCAAACAGAAGAAAGCCGGGTTACTACAGCCTTTTCCAGTCCCGGAACAGCCTTGGCAAGTGGTTAGCCTAGACTTCATCACCGGGTTACCACCTACCAAAGCTGTGTTACGACGCCATTCTAGTCATCATCGACAAATTTTCCAAAATGGGACACTTCATCCCGACACACACAACGGCTCGTACCGAAGAGACAGCGCAATTATTCTTCCGCTACGTCATTTCGCAACATGGCATTCCAACCACGTTGATCTCCGAGAGAGACCCGAAATTCACGAGTAAATTCTGGAAGGAGCTCATGTCGCTCATGGGGACCAAACTCGCCATGTCATCAGCCTATCATCCCCAAACGCATGGTCAGATAGAGCGCCTCAACCAGGTTGTCGAACAGCTTCTGCGAGCAGCGTGTAAGGACGATATCTCTAAATGGGACGGCGCCTTATTCTTGGCCGGTTTCGGCGGCGCCTTATTCTTTGACACTGCTGCACACTTACTAGCCTCTAGTATTCGTCCCTACCAATCCGTCACATCAGGAGCGAAATGGCAGAGCATCCAAATGGCAGCAACAGCGACAGCGACACGGACACTAGTCTCGTGGTGAGTCGCTCTCCAGCCTCGCCACCACTTGAATCTCTGCTGCCCTTTTCTATCCATCCTAATACGGCGCCACCACGACTGGCCGTGTCACCCCACCTTCTGGTTCTCCGTCCTACCAATTGGTTATCACAATACGTCCAAGTCCGTGAGTTCGGTTCAGCAGTGCCAATTGAGCTGGACATTTCAGCGTGAACGGCATGGTGCTGAAGGTGAAGATGGAGGAGGTGACAGGGATGGGCAAGTGCGTGGCGGCGTTTGAGGCGAAGCTGAGGGAGCAAGGCGACGCCATGGCTGCTTTGAAGCAAGAGATGGCGGACATGCGCCGCAACATGGCCCTCCTCAAGGGGATAGCGGAGGGGGCAGGAAAAGGGAGCGCGTCAGGAAAGGCAACGGAGGGTATTGACGCGCAGCCGCTGAAAGGTTCGCAGGTCGAAGGGAGGCGAATGAGATGCGCGAGGAGGTGGGCGTGCTGAAGGTGGAGCTTGCATAAATGAGGGCTGCGGCGGAGAGTCCGGCGGCGGAGGTGGCGGACATGAAAGCGACGGCGGCGCACTCGGAAGCGCGCATCAACCACGTCGAGCTGGCGCTCGCCGCCATCAAGGACGGCCACGCGGAGAAGCGCAAGGAGGGCAGCGGGGAAGGGCAGGCGGCGGAGAGGCGCGAGGGGAAGAGGCGGAAGAGGAAGGAGGAGGAAGATCTAGCAGATGTTCCTGCGGGGGATGGGCTGGCGCTTGTCGTTGCTGGTCGTGCGCCTGAAAGAAAGCGAAGGGGATGAGGCGAAAAGGGAGGGCGATGCGAAGGAGGAGGAGGAGGAGGAGGAGGAGGAGGAGGAGGAGGAGGAGGAGGAGGAGGAGGGCGCGGAGTATGTTAACCCGGAGGACGAGTTGCGGAATCTGAGGGTGCGAGTGGAAGCTCTGGAGAAAACGAGCGACAGGGAAGGCCATGTGTGGGAGGTGAGTGCACACGTGGAAGGCTAATCGCATGTGGATTCTGCATGGTTCACATGTGTGCCCGACTCTCATGTTGGTCCTCTTATGGTACAGCCTTACTCTTTGGCCTCGTCTTGCATTACAGATTGTGCTCTCTCTTTCAAAAACATATGAAACATGTTTACCTTTTCTGGGCCACGTGAAGTCACATGCAGCCAGCTTGTTTTTCAAGCTGGTGCATGACACTTTACACTCATAGCATGCGGGAGTCCGCTCCCTGGAGTCGTCAGGGTCGTGCTTATCTGTCTGCGTGGTTGGCCTTGCTTCCTTGTGCTTCTGTGCGTCTCTACAGGAACTCGTCGCACTCTGGGTTGAGGTTCGTCCAGGCAAGGCTCGTCTGGACCTCAGCAGCATATGCATCATTGACGGTGCTCTCACTCGAGCCACCACCTTGCGCTCTCTCACGTGGCTCAGCCTTCAAGGATCCTGGGGCTTCTTTGCAGAGGGCGTGACACGGCTCTTCTCCCTCACGGCTCTCGCATTTCTAGATTTGTCAACTACAAGCATCACAGATACTTTCCTCAAAGGCATTGGCAACTGAAGCATCTCAGAGCACTCTCTCTTCGCAGAACCCATATTACCAACGAAGCAGTAAGGAAGCTCCAAGGGCTGTCACAGCCCATATGCTAATCTGGATCTTTACTGCCCATATGTCACCTCTGCCAGCATGGTGCATGTGGGTAAACTAACTGCACTGACATCCCTCAGACTGGATGAAAGTGGGGTGAGGGAGGACGGGCTGCAGTATTTGATTGTGTTGGGCTGAGAAAAGCCCTTAGGATATTTGCAAGGCTAAATTCTGGGTTGAAGTATTGTAATTGCGGAAGCGTTTCAATGATAAAGTGTTGAACCACCTTGTGCTAGTATGTGAGGGCAAGATAGATTGATTATAGAAAAGTAATACAAGCCTTTTATAAGATTACAAGGAATATGAAAGGGTGCAACTAATGATTGTTTTACTGTTGCTGTTGCGGTTCGATACAGTGACGACTCGGGCAACTGCTCAGTATCGAGTCAGTTGTTTGTCCTTGCTGTCGCGCTGTATTTGTCGAGTCAAAGGTCCCTGACCTTTGACCTTCGCGTAACCTCCAGCGGTTACTTCTCTTGTCAACCTCCGATGGTTGACTCGCCGTTTCTTCGTTGCTATTTGCTTCGTTTACAGTTCGATGTTCCAACACATCAGAAGCGTTGAGTTACTTGTTTCTCTCAGAAACTAAACACAGTAGAATGAGTTGGATTGATTGGGTTGGGGTACCAATGCCTAACCCTATCTGTTTGTACCCCATATAGCATGACCCACTAGAGGCTATAATATTTGACACACCCCCATAGCCTAAGAGGGGAATGCCAAGCAACAAGAAACGCAACCTAAGGTCACAAGACCAGTCACAAGCAAGAGAGAAAACAAAGCTCGAGGTGGATCACAACGTCACCACACAGCCTGAGCACAAACAAAGGGCCACAAGGCCAGTTCAAGAGTTTACAAGCTAATATATAAGGTACACACAAACAAGAGGCAAGAACTCACTACTACAGTCTACTAGACCCAGTCTCAACGAGGCCTAACTGCAGACAAATCCGGCGGTGGTCACAAGGCTGAAGGGCCATGGTGAAGATGTTTGCAGTGTTGGCCTCGGAGGCCACGAAGTCCAGACGAGCCTGTCCGCGTCTCTGCAACTCTCGAAGGAGGAAGTACCTGGCGTCGATGTGCTTCACTCTGCTCTCCAGTCGAGGCTCACGACACAGGAGAATCATCGCCTTGTTGTCAGCAAACAAGGTCGGTGCAGAGCTCGGCCGCTCACCAAGGTCAGTGAGCAAGAAGGTCAACCAGCGTAGCTCCTGTGCAGCAAGGGCTCCAGCGTAGATCTCGGCCTCTGCGGTAGAAGTCGCAATAGAGGAGGACCGAGTGGACCTCCACGAAACAGCTCCAGAGCCCAGGCTGAAACAGTAACAGTAACCCTGAGTAGACCTCTGAGTCTCAACGTCGCCGGCGTAGGAGGAGTCGCAGTAACCGGTGAGTACAACTGGCTGTGTCCCTCCAAGTACAAGCCCCATGTCTGATGTCGCCCCGAGGTACTTCGCCACCCTCTTAGCCGCCGTCCAGTGATCAGGACAGTGTCTCCCAGTCGCAACAAAGCGACAAAAGATGCTAAGAGGCGTCAGGAAAAGGCCCAGTGAGTCTGTGGTCTACAGCACGAGGGGTGGGTGTAGGAGAAGACTGCTGAAGCCATAACCGCTGAAGGACATGCTGCACCATGTGTGACTGAGTCAGAGTGATGGTGCGAGCGGCTCTGTCCCTAGAGATCTGCAGGCCAAGGTAGCGGCGCAGTTCCCCAAGGTCAGTGCAGGTGTGTCTCTTCTGCAGTTGGGACTTCACCTCCGCCAGTGCAACTGTGTTGGCTGTGGCAAAAACCAGGTCGTCGACGTAGACGAGAACGAAGAAAGGTGTGCGCCCACGACGAACAAACAGCGACGGGTCGGCGGAAGACGGCTCTTACCCGAGGTCGAACAGAGTAGAGCAGAGTGTGTCGTGCCACTCACGGGGTGCCTGGCGGAGACCGTAGACCGGTCGTCTGAGGCTCCACTGGGTCCCAGGCGGGAAGGTGCCAGTGAAGCCCGGAGGACGACACAGCCAGATTTCCTCGTGTAGGCTGCCCTGGAGGAAGGCAGTGGAGAAGTCAAGAGAGTGTAGCTCGTAGTCTCTCTGCGTTGCTACGTGCAGTAACACCCGAAGAGTGGTCATCTTCGGGGTGGGCACGAAGGTCTGAAAGAAGTCAACTCCCTCACGCTAACTGAACCCTCTAGCCACGTAGCGTGCCTTGAAGACTGGGGGAGATCCCGGCGGCCGCTTCACCTTGAAGATCCACATGCCATCAACTATGTTCGCCCCTGGGGGGGGAACCTCGTCAACGTAAGTGCCTGTGGACCTGTAGGAGGCCATCTCTGCGTCCATGGCAGCTCTCCACTGAGAGGCCCAAGGCCCTGACACTGCCTCAGCGTAAGTGCGAGGGGTAGGTATGTCAGGAGCGTCGGGGTTTCCCTCAGGAGCGAGGAGCATGGCACAAAGATGAGGCGAAGCAGCTGCCAGGAACTCTAGCTCAAACTATCTGTCCTCTAGGACGTCACAGCCAAAGGCAGACTCACCCCCGGTGGACAGAGGACGGACACGAGGAGCGGCCACAACACGAGTGGCGTAGTCAAGGCGACGCGTAGCAGTAAAGTCAGTGACAGCGGCAGTGAGGACCGCGACGGAGGAAGGAGAGGCACGAGGGTCTGTAACAAGAGAGGCGAGAACACGAGAGAGAGTGGGGCGGTACGTGCGGTAGTAGTCAGTGACCGGAGTGGACAGGGAGGCAGTGAGGGACGACTCAGGAGGACGAGGAAGACCAGACGGAGGAGGACGAGGAGGACTTGGACGAAACAACACGGTACAGAGGTCAGTGACAGGTGACAAAGGACGAGCACGAGGGGGACGAGAGGTCCAAGTGTGGGCGAGAGGAGAGGGAGACGAAGGAGATTGAGAACAAGGGAACACAGCCGGAGCTGAGTCCGGAGGAGGAAACGTAGGACCGAACACAGGAGGAGAGGAGGGGAGACCAAGGGCCCGAAGGCCAGAAACAGGGGCCGGAGGCTGCTCCGGCTGCTGCTGCTGCTCCTGCTCCTGCTGCTCCCGCTGCAACTCCAACCTCTCACGCTCCACCCGCTGCTGAACCTCCGACCTCTCACGCTCCAAACGCTGCTGCTCCTCACGCTCTAGGCGAAGAAGGGCCTGGTAACGAGTCGGGTAGGGGTGAGGAGGAGGAGTGGTGTTAGGAGACGCAGCAGAAGAATCGGCTCCGTCCTCGACAGTACCCGGCTGAGCACCCCCAGAGCGAGTACCTCCCGCGGCAGCATGACCAGCACCTGTAGGAGGTGTACCCGCACCCCCGGTCGTGGTGCCTCCAGTGGCACCAGCACCAGCCCCTGACTCTCCAGCTCCAGAAACACCACCAGCTCCAGCACCACCACCAGCTCCAGTACCCTCGGAACGGGCAGCTGCGGCAGGTGCATGCTTAGCGCCAACGCCAACACCCCCAAAACTGACTGCTCCTGTAGGTGCACGAACAGCTCTAACGCCAGCACCCCCAGAGCGAGCACCGCCACAGCCCTCACCTCGAGCACCAACACCCTCAGAGGCCGCAGTGGCTGGTAAAGGAAGCGCTGACGGCTGCTGCGGAGGCGGTGAGGACGACTGTGGGGAAGGAGGAGAGACCTGGGGGGGTACCGAGGGGGGGGGAGTAGCGTGGGACACACCAGACGGAGCGGGAACAGGGAGGAGTACCGGAGGAGTAGGGGCGGGAGGAGGAGGAGCTGGAGCCAGGAAGAGGGGAGGGGGGGGAACCGGGAGACCTCGACAGGGGTACCGGACGTAGTAGGGGACGGACTCGTCGAAGCGGACGTCACGAGAGTCAAAGAACCGGTGGGAGGGAGGGTGGTAAAAGGTGAAGTCAGAGGAGCCCTTTGGGAAACCAAGGAAGACACAGGGGACAGCACGAGGCGAGATCTTGTCCGCAGAGGTCTCACGGACAAGAGCCAAGCAGCCCCAGACAATAAACCTCGACGCAACACCAGGGGACCCTGTCCAAAGACTGGTTGGTGAAGCCCCTGGCCGAGAGACGGCGGCGGGTAGGTATGCAGGCGGGTAGGTGGCGTAGCATGTGGACAGGCGGGCGGCGCTGTGCGCTGGCTGGCGGGCGGCGCGGCGCGCTGCCTGGCGGGCGGTGCGGCGCGCTGGCCTACGGGCGGCGCGGCAGGTCGACGGGCAGGCGGCGCGGCGGGTCGACAGGTGGGCGGCGCAACGCGCGGGCCTACGGGCGGCGCGGCGGGTCGACGGGCGGGCTGCGCGGCTGGTCGACGGACGGGCGGCGCGGCGCGCGGGCCTACGGGCGGCACGGCGGGTCGACGGGCGGGCCTACGGGCGGCGCGACGCGTGGGCCTACGGGCGGCAC